CTCTGTGGATCTTCCTGTGCCTGGCTGAGGCCACAGAGAAAGATCCAGAGGTAAGCTGAGCCTTTATTTTATAGTCAGAGGTAAACAAGGTAGTGGTTACCATAATTACACTGTTCTTGTGAGTTTCACTTGTTTTGGCAGCACTTCCTGCTACTCCCTCAGCCCATTAGCTTCCCAGATAAGATCTAGGTAGCTTATAAGGTCAAGCCTAATTATGCTAAGAGGACTGTGCCCTCTAAACTGGGACTTGTTTGTGACTTTGCCAACAGGTCAGTCCGAGGCTTAACCCTATAGCCGCGCCCCACAGTGGTGTAGTTTATGTTTTCCTTTGTTGTCCCATGTATTGTCTGCATATTGTTAGTTAGATCTAGAGGTCCTGTTAGATTCAAATTTGACCTTTTTTGCAAGACTGCTACATTGAAGGTTTATGTTCTTTCATGAGGATGCATATCTAATTTTGTACCTTTTTGTGATATCATTAATATTGATAATCATTGAAAATGATCATATTCTAGTTATAAATGGCTTCTTGGTTTATTATTTGGAATAATTTATAAATTGAAACTTTTTTCATCTTGAGCTATATTTCAATATGCAATTCGGTCTATTTCTGTATTTTCTGTTCTGTTCCATTCATCTATTCATATGCAATGCTAAACTATTTTTATAATAGAGGCTTTATACTGTATTTTAATATCTAATAAGGGGTAGCTCCTGTTTTTCTGGCTATTCTTACTCATTTGTTCTTCAAATGAACTTCATAATCCATTTGTTCTGTCTTCAGAAAATAACTACTGATATTAGGAGCATATTAAATGTATGGCCCTGGCTGGTTTGGCTCAGTGGATGGAGCAACAGCCTGTGAATTGCGGGCTCGATCTTCAGTAGGCGGCATGCAGGAGGCAGCCAATCAATGATTCTCTCTCATCATTGATGTTTCTCTCTCTCCCTCTCCCTTCCTTTCTGAAATAAAAAAAAAAAAAGTGACATCTAAGCGTCTTTATGATATTGAATCTTTTTGTCTGAGTACATGGTTTATTGTTGGTAAATGTTTCTCTCCACGTCCCGCGTGGTTCAGGGTTCAGGGCCTAGAAGAGGAGCCGCACCCAAATGAAAGAGAAAAGACACGAGATAATTTGGAAATATTGGGGGGCCAGGCGGGCAAGTCCAACTCAAGGAGAAGGACTTCCACTGGTGCTCAGGCCGCATCAACCTTTTATAGTCAGAGGTAAACAAGGTAGTGGTTACCATAGTTACACAGTTCTTGTGAGTTTCACTTGTTTTGACCATAGTTACACTTCCTGCACTTCCCTCAGCCCATTAGCTTCCCAGATAAGATCTAGGGAGTGTTATAAGGTCAAACCTAATTATGCTAAGAGGACTGTGCCCTCTAAGCTGGGACTTGTTTGTGACTTTGCCAACAGGTCAGTCCGAGGCTTAACCCTATATTGGTTCCCTGCAGTTTATCTTTCTATTTGTAGAAGTTTGCATTATGCCTTTTAGATTTTATTATATTCTTGTCTCCGTTTTCTGAGGTTGTTATAACAAATTACCAACAGAAACTTATTCTAGAAACTTACTAGAGGCCTGGGTCTAAAATCAGTTTCACTGAGCTAGAATCAAGTTGTAGGGCAAAGCTGTGCTCCTTCTGAAAGCTCTGAGAGCCAATATTTTTATTGCCTCTTTCAGCTACTGGTGGCTGCCAGCATTCTTTGTCTTGTGGCCACACTAATCTCTGCCACCTCTTCCATATTACCACCTCCTTGTCTCTGTGTGTAGCATCTCTTTCTCCATCTCTATCTTATAAAAACATTTGTGACTATATTTAGGATAATCCCCTTTGGCAAGACCCTTAATTCAATCATATATGCAAACAGCCCTTTTCCATATAAAGTAACATTTACAGGTTCCAGGGATTAGAGCCTGATCTCTGTATGTCTATATTCAGCCTAGAATAATTCCTCATATAGATTTTGGGCATGTCCTTTTAACTTTATTATTAGATTTAAATTTTTTTTGTTTTCAAAATAGCATTTTCCCTCTCATTTTATCTTGTAACTGGTTTATATTTGTAGTAGAGGCCCGGTGCACAAGATTCATGCACCCAGGGGGTCCCTCAGCCTAGCCTGCACCCTCTCACAGTTTGGGAGCCCTCGGGGGATGTCCGACAGTCAGACATCCTCAGCACTACCGTGGCCGCTGCTGTGCTCACCAGCCATGAACCCAGCTTCTGGCTGAGTGGTGCTTCCCCTGTGGGAGCACACTGACCACCAGGGGGCATCTCCTGCATTGAGCGTCTGCCCCCTGGTGGTGCGCATTATAGCACCAGTCATTCTGCCATTCGGTCAATTTGCATATTAGCCTTTTATTATATAGGACTAGAGGCCCGGTGCACAAAAATTTGTGCACTCGGGGGGAGGAGGGTCCCTCAGCCCGGCCTGTGCCCTCTCGCAGTCTGGGACCCCTCGGGGGATGTCTACCTGCTGGCTTAGGCCTGCTCCCTGGGGGATTGGGCCAAAGCTGGCAGTCAGACATCCCTCTGGCAGCCCGGCAGCCCTCGGGGGATGTCCACTTGCCAGCGGGGAGCAATCCTAAGCTGCAATCAGACATCCTTAGTGCTGCTGAGGAGGCAGGAGAGGCTCCCACCACCACCACTGTACTGGCAGCCGTTAGCCTGGCTTGTGGCTGAGCAGAGCTCCCCCATGTGGGAGCACAGTGACCACTAGGGGGCATCTCCTGCATTGAGCATCTGCCCCCTGGTGGTCAGTGTGTGTCATAGTGACCAGTCATTCCAGTCGTTCTGCTGTTAGGGTCAATTTGCATATTACCCTTTTATTATATAGGATAGAGGCCTGGTGCACGGGTGGGGGCCGGCTGGTCCTGAAGGGTGTTCCGGATCAGGGTGGGGGTCCTGCTGGGGTGCCTGGCCAGCCTGGGTGAGGGGCTGAGGGCCATTTTCAGTCTGGCCACATGCCCCTTTAGGGTGGGGGTCCCCGCTGGAGTGCCTGGCCAGCCTGGGTGAGGGGCTGTGGGCCATTTCAGGCTTGCCACACCCCCTTCAGGGAGGGGGTCCTGCTGGGGTATCTGGCCAGTCTGGGTGAGTGGCTGATGGCTGTTTGCAGGCTAGCCAAGCCCCCCAGCACAGACCCTCACCCCATGAGGGTGTGGCCAGCCTGGGTGAGGGGCTGATGGCTGTTTGCAGGCTAGCCACAGCCCCTTCAGGTTGGGGGTCCCCCTGGGGTGCCTGGCCAGCCTGTGTGAGGGACTGATGGCTGTTTGCAGGCTGGCCACAGCCCCTTCAGGGTTGGGGTCCCCACTGGGGTGCCTGTCCAGTCTGGGTGAGGGTCTGTCTGAGGGCTGTTTTCAGGCTGACCACACCCCCTTCAGGGTATGGGGTCCTGCTGGGGTGCCTGGCCAGTCTGGGTGAGTGGCTGATGGCTGTTTGCAGTCTGGCAAAGCCCCTCAGCGGGGACCCTCACCCCATGAGGGTATGGCCAGCCTGGGTGAGTGGCTGATGGCTGTTTGCAGGCTGGCCAAGCCCGCCAGCAGGGACTCTCACCCCATGAGGGTGTGGCCATCCCTGGTGAGGGGCTGATGGCTCTTTGCAGGCTGGCCACGGCCCCCAGCCACCCACGCTCCCAGTGGAGGCTGGCTGGAAGCAGGTATCTGGGATTTATTTATCTTCTATAATTGAAACTTTGTTGTCTTGAGCAGAGGCCACAGCTGGCCAGGGCAGGCAGGAAGCTTGGCTTCCTCCATTGCTGGGGCAACCAAGCCTCCTGCTTGCTCCAGCTTCGTGGCTGCCGGCCGCCATCTTGGTTGGGTTAATTTGCATATAGTTGCTCTGATTGGCTGGTGGGCTTGGCTTGGGCATAGCGGTGGTGTGGTCAATTTGCATGTTTCCCTTTTATTAGATGTTGGTTTTTGTATGTTGATTTTCTAATTTGCTACTTTATTAAATTCTGTTATTCTTTGTAATAGTTTTTCAGTTGATTCTTTTATGTGATCTGGATGTATAATTATCCTATATAATAAAAGTGTAATATGCAAATCGACCGAACAACAGAATGACCATCTGGACAACCATCTGGGACCAAGCAATGACACCCACTGGTGCCAGGTTAGCCAAGGTGGGTGTGATGTGATTGGTGAGGGGCCTGGCCATCTCCCCATGATCACCCTGCAGAGGGAGGCCCAGGCCTCCGGCTGGTGGGTGGGCGGGGCCTCCCTTTGCGAGAGAAGCCCGGGTCCCGGGCGCTGGAGGGAAACCGGTGCCGGCAGCCAGGGTAAGGAAGGCGTACTCTTGCATGAATTTCTACATATAAAGATAGTTTTGCCTTTTTCTTCTGAATTCTCATGCTTCCATTCCTTTCCTCTGTCTTATTACATTGACTAATACCTCCACACCCTGTTATATAGTAATGGAGATATTAGTATCCTGACCTTGTTCCTGTCTTTAGGGGAACAGCTTCCTGTGTTTTACCAAATAGGAAACAAAACATGTTTTTAATGTTCTTTTTAGGGACTTGAGTTTATATTTTAAAATTAGAAGTGTAAGCAGTTACCTTTATAGAGAATATTATTATCTTAAATAGTGCTCTGTAGCTTTTGAAGTATTTTTAAATATTTAATTTATTTGGTTCTGTGAGAGAAAAGGGCAAATCTAGCATTTTAATTTTATAGTGTGGAGAAAGTAAGTAATTGCTGTAGGTCATGATGTTAGAAAGTGGTAGAGCCAGGCCAGAATCCAAGACTTGCTTTTTTTCTTTTTTACTGCACTCAAGGCTACATACTTACTTTTTCTTCAGGAAACTCTAGATTTAGGACAATGCTTTTTATACATATGAGAATATATAAATAAGTTATTTCATTTTTTAAAATGTAACTTTAGTGGTTTATTAAGTGTGTGTGCCAGTGTGTGTGTGGTTTTTTTTTTTTTTGAGAGTAAAACATCCTATATAATAAAAACTTAATATGCAAATTGACCAAATGGCAGAACGATGATCGGTTGGCGGGGGGCGTTGGTGGTGACTGGTGGTGGCGGAGGAGCAATTGGGGAGTGCGGCCAGTCGCTTGCCTGCTGGCGCCGTCTCCTGATCGGCCTGCTTGTTGCCACCCACAGAGGGAGGCCACCAGAGGTGGGGCGATGGGAGGCCGGGTCCTGAACTGCACCCTGGTGGTCAGTGTGCTCCCACAGGGGAGCACTGCTCAGTCACAAGTCGGACTGATGGCTGGCAAGCACAGCAGCGGTGGTGGGAGCCTCTCCCGCCTCTGCAGCAGCACTAAGGATGTCCAGCAGGGAGCAGGCCTAAGCCGTCAGTTGGACATCCCCTGAGGGCTCCCGGACTGCGAGAGGGCACAGGCCAGGCTGAGGGACCCCACCAGGCCTCTCGTTATAGATAAGTCTAAAGTCCTCTTTAATGACCAACTTCAGTCTCATTTCCTCTCCTCAGAAACAAGTACCCACATGAGTTTGGTATGTTACCCTTCTGTTCATTTTTAAAAAAATCCATAATTCACAGACAAAATGTATGATACTATGTTAGTGATTAAAGAGAATACCAAAATCTACCTTATGTTCTGTATCTTCCCCTTTTTTACCCACCATCATTATATGGATCTTGGAGTATGCAAGGCTTTTCTCAGCATGACATAAAATGTAGAATCCACTTTTAGAATCTAGATCTCCAGTCTAGTATCTTCCCACTATCATATTGCCTCACTAAACTGTTTTCATTAAGACTTTTAAAATTTAGAAATATGCTTTCAATTTTGATTAAACTTCATCATGATAGTGGCAAAATCTATTCAAAACTACATGCAATATAAAGTCCCAACACTTAAAATTTAAAACTCCTGACTAGGAGTAGGGAAGTTGGGCAGAATTTGAGAATATCTTATTCAGTAGTAGTTTTTGTTTTCCATATTGGAAATGAGAGGCTTTACCACTCAGATGCTGCAAAATACCAGTATAAATAGAACTGTCATTTTTGTTTTAAGTATGAAATATTGATGGTTTAGACAGAAATCTGCAAACTTTTCTGTAAAGGGCCAAGTAGTATTTTCAGCTTCTCAGGCCATGTGGTTTCTGTTGCAACTACTCAACTCTGCTGTTGGAGCCAAAAGCAACTACCCTATATAATAAAAAGCCTAATATGCAAATTGTCCCCTCAACTAGGAGTTCCACCGGAGTTCGACTAGGGGGCGGGGCCAGCCAGCGAACCGCCCACGGCCCCTACCCCTGGCTGGCCCCACCCCTGACCAGCCTCCCCCACCCCAATCTGGGCAGGCCGGCCGGACCCCACCCGTGCACGAATTTGTGCACCAGGCCTCTGGTAGATAATAAAGAAACAAATGGGTAAGACTGGCTGGTTCCAATAAAACTTTATTTACAAAAAAAAAACACAAAAAAACAGTTGGGTGGGATGACCCACAGGCTATAGTTAGATCATTTTTGGTTTGAAGGCAGTGGTGTACTGGTAAATGTTTAACTGGCTTTTTGGAAAGAAGGGTAAGTCCTGATTTACAGCATTTGCCCCATCATGGCTGATTTCAAGCTACCTACTTGACATCACTGAACAGAAAGGTAGAAAGAGATCTATAGTAGCACACCATTATATAGCGTTTCTACCATACAGATAAGCTAGATGTAAATAACTTCAGGAACATAGATAATAAGGAAGTGATGAGTTTGAAGATTTATTACTTTTCTTTTCAATACAATTTATTTAAATGAAAATTCAGATAATTTAATTATGAACGATGTCTATATGCAATATCTGGCTCACAAAGTTTCTAAAATGTAACAGTTGGCTCTGGTGAGTCAGTATGAATCTAATTCAGCACACCACTGTGTTGGAGGACATAATCATGAATTTTGTTTTAATAAGTTACCTACTGAATCATAAGTTATATGTGAGAGTAATAGCAAAAAGAATTGTGTTAGTATGCACTGATCTTGCTCATTTGTTTTAAATAAGAATCTGCAAGAATAATTTTAAGTGAGAGTTGACTGTCAGATACGCTTTATTCCTTGGTTCTTTAACTTTCAAGTGATAGCATATGAAGTAAATATGGGCCAGTAGATTTTGTCACTATATCATATATGATAATAAATGTTACTTATTATTTGATTTTTTCCCCCTTAAGGAATAACTGTGACACCTGATGAAGAAAAAAACTTGAATCATTATGTACAAGTTTTACAGAATCTAGTATTAAGTGTTCCCACTAGGGAGCCAGGCCAAGAGAAAATATCAAAGTCTCCAAATAACGTTTATTCTATGAAACCGAAGTCTTCAAATAACGTTTATTCTGTGAAACCGAAGTCTTCAAATAACGTTTATTCTATGAAACCGAAGTCTTCAAATAACGTTTATTCTATGAGACCAAAGGTATCACAATTTAAGGAGCTAATTTCACATGACAAAGCTTCAACTGAGAATGATATTTTAAGCGACCCTATCAGTGATAAAGCTACACCTTTCCCTACTAGAGACTTCCAACCTGAAATAAGGAGGAACAAACGTACTAAAAGTACACCATTCTGGTCAATTAAACCAAATAACATTTCTGTTATTTTAAGTTCAAAAGTACCTTATATTGAAAGAGAAGAGCCAGAGCCAGAGCCAGAGCCAGAGCCAGAGCCAGAGCCACAATTTAGAGCACCAATGTTATGGCCAAATGTTACTGAATTACCTCCAAGTCCTTCAAGTAGGAGCACTGACTGGGATACCACCACAGAACTAGAAGATGTTCCTCAGCTCTCAGGGGAATATGAAATACCAATTTATGAAAGTCAACCACTAATTTTGAGTAATGAAGAAATTTTGGATAAAATATCAGATATTCGTTCAGAAGTACAACATGTACCTCTTGTTGAGAGCCTCAAGCCAGAATATAGAGAGGACATTCGAGCCTCTAGAGAGAACCTAAAACGAAGCCTTGCTTTAGCAGAAGCAGCAGAACACAGATTACAAAAAATGTATAAATCCCAGTTATTACCAGTAGGACGCAGCAGTTTTCCCAGTGATGATATTGAAACTATTATTAACATGCTGTATAATTCTAGATCTAAGTTATCTCAATATTTAGATATTAAATATGTTCCATTAGAGATGAGACAGAAAGCTACTACAGTAATCCATATATTGAAAAACAGATTATGTGTAAATCAACTACAAACTCAAAACCTTATTAGGAAGTTATTAAACAATAATATAAAAATTTTAAGCCTACTTGATGTTCCATAACAAAGGTGATCTAAGAAAACTGTCATTCATTAACTGGCATTCATTAACAGGAGAAATAAGCATACTAGTGATTCAAAAGTTGTATAAAATAATTTCTATTGTAGTTCAATGTGCTAACATCTTTACATGTCATATGTTATGAACATTTTTCGTATGCACTAATATGCCTAAAAATTTAAAATAAAAGTTTGGTTCAGGAGTTTGTAGTTTTCTTTCATTAATTTATTTTTAAAATTATGAAGATCTAATCTTTAAAATATTTAAGCTTTGATTTACTTGAATAAATTAAATTCACCCATTAAATAAGAGTTAAGGGCTGTGCAATCTATATATGTAGCTTGTTTTAAATGAGTGCATATAATGTAAATGTTTAGGGTATATAGTCTCTATTACTCTTGAGAGAATCTGTGTTTTCTGTCTGAATAGCATAGAAAAGTAGAGCTTGTATCAAAACTACTTGTATTTGAATATATGTGTGCCTCCTTTGAAAAGTGGATGATACATTAAGATACCTCTTTTTCTTTCTTGGTAAGTACTTTTGGATTATCAGTGAGGGACTGTAAACAGAATTGGTAGTAGAGTTGTTCTCACTTATTTCCTCCTTTGTTTGTTTATATACGTGTACTTTGAAGCTTTGCAAATCTTTTATTTGGGAGTATGACTAACATCATTAAAGTTAACTGTGTAATATTGTAATTATGGTGAAGGTAATTCTGTTTTATAATTAGATCAGTATTTAAATTTATTTACTTATTCATCAATCCAGTCATTATTAGTTTAATAAAGATATAATGACCTTTTACTATGTAACGGAAAAAATAGCAGGCTTTTGGGATATCATAATAAGATCTAGTTTCTTCTCTCTTTGAGATTATATCATAGCAGGATAGCAGAAAGACAGACACTAAAAAATAACTTTAACAATATTTAAATTTCAGTTCTGACAAGTTGTTATGAAGGTGTGAGAAATCTGACTGCATCTAGACCAAGAATAATGGAAAAGCTACCTTGAGAAGGTAGCATTTAGATGAGACCTAACGGATGACAGTGTGTAGGGGGAAGGGGGCATTCCAGGTAGAGGAACCAGCATGTGTGAAAGTTCTGGGTTGAACATGAATATGACAAATTCAAGAAGTAGCTGGAATATATAGAAAGGCAAGGGAGTGCATATCATTATAAAGCTGGTAAGAGCAGAGGTCAGAAAGGCATTGCACTGCATATTGAAAATTTTAGCCTTTATCCTATGATCAATAAGTCATTCATGGATTTTAAGCAAAGGATGGGTATGATGGGTATGATTAAATGGGTTTTTAAAAAAAGTACCGTTCTGGCTACAGTTTTGGAGGTAGGTAAAAATAGAAGTACACCATACACAAATTTAGCTTGGACTAGATGGAAAGACATGGCAATAAAAGGGTAGAATCGGTAGAATTTTGGTAGTTGAATGGATATGGGACAGAGGGAGTATCAGAGATCAAAAATAATTGCCACACAATCAGCTATATTATAAAAAAGACTACATAGTTTTTGTTTTATAACTCTTTACTATTTGCTATTGTTGCATTATGTATATATATCTATACTTGATTTCAGAGAGGAAGGGAAAGGAAGAGAGAGAAACATCAATGATGAGAGAGAATCATTGATCAGCTGCTTCTTGCATGCCCCCTATTGGAGACCGAGCCCACAACCCAGGCATGTGCCCTGACATGGAATCAAACCATGACCTCCTGGTTCATAGGTCAACACAACCACTGAGCCACACCGGCTGGGCCGATGTTGCTTATTTTTAAAAATAATTTTGCTATGGAAAATTTCAAACGTGCAAAACTAAACAGTTTCAACAATTATCTATTAATGACCAGTCTTATTTCCCTAAACCCCTACCCCTTCCCCTCTTCCATATTTTATGTTGAAATAAATCTTTGATAACTTTTTCATCTGTAAATATAACTGTGAAGCTCTATAAGCTTTATTAAAAACCACTTCTACAATATCATTACATAAAAATTCAATAATTCTTTAGTATCATCAAATATCCAGTCAGTGTTAACATTTCTAATTTTCTAATTTTTTAAATTTAGAATTTGTATGAATCAAGATCCAAATAAAGTGCACACACTGAGACTGGTTGATTTGACTCAAATCTCTTTTAATCTAAAGATTTTCCTCCACCTCTGTTCTCCTTGAAATTTATTTATCAAAGAAATTTGTCATTTGACCTATGTTTTATACAGTATGAGTTTTGCTGATTGTATCCCTATAATGCCATTTAGTATATATTTTCCTGTCCTTTGTATTTTCTATAAATTGGTAGTTGGATCTAGAAACTTTGTCAGACTTGGTTTGTCTTTCTTCTTTTTCTTTCTTTGTTCCTTTTTTCTTGTCAAGATTGTGTTATGTTTTATCATTTGATTGTGGCCCCTTTTGTAATTTTTTCAACCTTGGATCATCATTACCTAGATATATTAGTTGTGCAGTCATTTCTGCACAGAGGCCTCTCACACAAACTGCTTTTCACAGACAAGCCTGCACTGAATTGCCTACCTGCACTGTATTTCTTTCATCTAGTCAGCCCTTATAAAGGAGTTCTTGGAATCCTATTAGAACTAATAGGACTGAGGCTTTCCCCATCCAATCAGAGCTGTGCAGCCCTGGCCAATCAGAGGGGCTCTGTTCTGACCAATCAAAACAGTGCCTTTTGGACCAATCAAGTTGTGAGGATTTGGATTCCTCGGTTGCATTAGGATGGACCAGTTATGGAGCAGGGCTGGGGACTCCTGTCCATATACACTGAGTGGCCAGATTATTATGACCACCTGACGTTTGTAGGCAAATTAGCCGGACACTGCATTGTATGGGATATGGAAGCCAAAGGCCTGTTCGAACACCTTTGCTGTCTGCAGTTACCAAGATAAAACGTCTCCAATTCGCACAGGAACACAAGGATTGGACAGTCGAGCATTGGGAAAAAGTCATGTGGTCCGATGAATCACGTTTCCAGTTGCATCATGCAGATGGCAGAGTGAGAATTTGGCGGAAACAGCATGAAAGCATGCACCCCACATGCATGAGTACAACCCTTCAAGCTGGTGGGGGCAGTGTTATGGTTTGGGGCATGTTTTCCTGGCATGATTTGGGCCCTTTAATTCATGTGGAACAACATCTGAATAGCACAATATACCTAAGTATCGTTGCTGATCAAGTTCATCCTATCATGTTGATAGCATATCCCAATGGAGATGGCTTCTTCCAACAAGACAATGCGCCATGCCACGGTGCTTGTATTGTGCAGGAGTGGTTTCAAGAACACGAGGGAGACGTTGCCTTGCTTAGGTGGCCCCACAATCACCAGATCTCAATCCAATTGAGCATTTGTGGGACAAAGTTAAAAGAGCCATCAGGCAGCTGGTTCCACAACCATCAAATCTCACAGAACTGGACAGTGCTATTCATCAGGCATGGTGTCAGATTCCTCACATCACCTTTCAACATCTCGTGGAGTCAATGCCAAGAAGAATTGCTGCAGTATTGAAGGCAAAAGATGGCCCAACAAAGTATTGATGGGGCGGTTATAATAATCTGGCCACTCAGTAATCTGGTGGCTTTTCTTTACAAAGCCCTGGGCACAGAGAGGATTCCTCACCATCACTCAGCCCTGTTCTTTGGTTACACCCTTGAGTGGGGGTGAGCTGCAGCAGTAGTTGGCTCATACCAATATACCAACCTGACCCATCCATAAATCAGACCCAAGTTTTCCTTCTGCCTTTATCAGGTTGTGTGGATCCCATGAAGTTTGAGGTAAAGTGTTGCTGCAAAAGATGTGGCAGTCTTAGAGGTTTTGCTCACTTGTTTATGTAGCTTATCTGTGCCTTCTGTGTCTACTTGAGCTCAATCCTGAATATATCATTTCCATGATACAAAGGATTACTGCTGCTTTGGTCCATTTCTTGACATGGTGGATCTGACAATATGTATAACTCCAGTTTCATAGTTGCTTATGTTCCACAGTTAGGTGCTCATTCTTTATTAAGATTCACTTCAGAAAAAAAATTCACTTCAGGATCTCCTTTTCAAACAGGACCTCCTTCCGGAACAGGACCTTCTTTTCTGCTGCAGCAGATAGGGCTTTGCTCTGGAAGCTGAGGTCTGATTACAGAATTTTTGTTGGGACTTGCCAGAGACTCTTCATAGTGTGCTTATCTACCATGGATATCTCTAGCACCTTGGCTAGGCTGGGTTATAGCATCTAAATGTCAGGGCTGCTCAAAACCTGGACTTGCAATAGATGCAATAGAGCTCTCTCTTAATCAGAGCCTCACTCAAAACTGATAGCCTTCTAAGGTACCCAATAAATGGGTTGTAGCAATAGTCCCCAAAGAAGTACATGTTGTCTACAAAATCCAGAAGCCCATTAGGTGCTGTGTTTGTTTCTAAGTATTAAGGGGTGAGAGATACAAAGAGTTGATCTTATGGAAGGATGAATTGGCATGATCAGACTATTCACCTGATCTGACCGACTCCTGAATCATGATAGAATAAACCTCCTACCCTCTGGCACATTTCCTTAGACCATCTCACTTCTTGTTTACCAAATATAATTAACATGACATTTTATCAATATAGACCATCAAGATATAGTGTGGAATGTTAAAATGATCAAAGTCTCTCTGGACTGTATTGTGACAGGGAACAGGAGCGTTAACATAGCCTGGGGCAATGCCATGAGCACTTCTGTACACACTTCTGTTCTTTCCATGTAAATATTATTGTAATTTGCTCTTTTATATTGATGGAGATAGAAAATATTGCATTTTCCAAAACATTAGTCACATACTAAGTATTATATCTATTTTAGTAAACCTTTAACACCTGGCACAATAGCTGTACTTAGAGATAGCACTTGGTTGAGTTTTCAGTTAGTACACCATTATCCGCCACAATCAGCGGATCATCGATCAGCTGCTTCCTGCACTGGGAATCAAGCCTAAAACCTGGGCATGTGTCCTGACCAGGAATTGAACCGTGACCTCCTGGTTCATGGGTCGACCCTCAACCACTGAGTCACACTGGCCGGGTTGTTTTGCTTTGTTTTTAATATAAACGTTTTTTAGGCAAGGTACCTTTCCTACTCTATGGAAAGATTTTCCTTCTCTGTGGAAAGAGTTATGAGGTGGACCTGGTTGCCAAGCTGCATCCTTAGCTGTAGCAGAGGTGAGAGTCCACCATCTCAATGTTAGCTGGACAGCTAATACTAAATTACTCAGGAGCAAAAGCAGTGCTTATTGCCAAGTAATCTGGCTGCTGTGAGCATCTCTGTGCTCTTGCTTTGAAGAAAGGACTAGGAGTCTGGAAGCAGGATTCTGGATTTGCCTCTCCAACAGTGGTTGGAGGCTCCTCCCCCCTCTCCCCAGCTATGCAGAAGCTAGCTGAAGAGGCAACCAGCCTGGGAGGCCCTTTCCTTTGACTGGAAGTCCTCAATCCTGAATACTTGGTGGCAGAAGATGGGGAAAGGACCAACTTTTTGCATTTATTTTTCTTTCATAACTTCTCAGAGGCCATGCTGACATTCTTGAAGTGAGGACTAGGTGTTGGGTGAGATGAGTTTTCTGATGCTCCAACTAAGGATCTGAAGAGAATGTGTCAACCAGGAGCCTTTAGGTTTCATTTTTAGGCACACAAGGCCCTTCCCTGCCCAGGTTCCATAGATCTGTGCCAGTGTGGTGCTGAAAATCAATATATCCTCGGGAAAGCCTAGAATATGACAAATTGGGAATACAGGAGAATGCCCCAACTCACCAGCAAATAAGGGAATTTTTTTTTTAAACATCAGTATGAAATCTCTTAGACTCTCAGTGTATTAAAACTGAGGATCCACCAGGTAGGCTGATCTAAGACCCTCAGTTTATAGATGATAAGACAGGTCAAAAGAGGGGTGGGCCTTGCTCAGGATCACCCTGACTAGCCCCAAGTTCACCCACTGCCCTCACCACCAAATGTTTGGATAAAGGTCAACAAACTCTCCTTTTCTTGTTCTTGCTGCCCCTCAGAACTCATCTTTTAAATGTTGTGCCTGTATTCTTTTTCATCTAGTCCTACTGCCACTGCCCTAGTTAAAGTCTTTTTCTTTTGCCAAGATGGTGATGATGATAATAACAGCAGCAGCTACCATCGATTGAGCCCTTCCTCTTCATCAGACCCTATTCTAAACGTTGTAAGTATGGACACTTAAATGTAGCCCTTTGAGGGAGATACTAGTATCACTTTCATTTTATAGATGAAGAAACTGAGGCACAGAAGTTAAGCACAAGGTCATAGAGCTGGTAAGTAGTGGAGCAGATTTGAATTTGGGCAATGTGACTCTGAAGTGCATGCTCTCAACTATTTTATTATACTTTTTAGTGTACATTAGCATAGTGGATGACATTATTACCCCATTTTACAGACCAAGAAACTGAGTTTTGGTAAGATTAAGGTAGTTCATAAGGCTAGTAAGGAGCAGAGTTGGTTCTCAAACCAAAATACTTGCTCTTAAATACTAGTGATACATTCTCCTTGTCATAATAATGTCCACACATCATATGGACTAAATCTAAATTTCCAACAGGAGAGACAAATAAACTGTATTTTTAACAAGTCTAAGGACCACTGCTATGTTGATGTCCAAACCTTTAACACAGACAGCTGGGGGATGAGGACATGTGCTGGGGGGTGGGAGCAGCCAGGGAGAGGTCAATTGGGGAAAAAGGAGACATATGTAATACTTTAAACAATAAATAATTTGATTTAAACATATATATATTTATTATTATTATTGATTTCAGGAAGAGGGAGAGAGATAGAAACATCAGTGATGAGAGAGAATCATTGATTGACTGCCTCCTGCATGCCCCCTACTGGGAATTGGCCCAGCAACCCAGGCATGTGCCCTTTACCGGAATCGAACCCAAGACCCTTAAGTCTGAGGCTGACGCTCTATCCACTGAGCCAAAGCGGCTAAGGCACCTGTAAAAAATTTTTATAAAAATTTATTTGAGTCAAAAAGAGGATACACCTGAAAGCAAGATCAACAGCCTGAGCTCCATGCTTCCAAGAATAGCAGTGTGCAGCCCCTCTTTATGAAGGTAAGGAAGATTTCGTAAGGGTGGGAGGAAGCCCTGCAGGAATGGGATTACAGGGTAGTTGAGATTATGTACTTAAGGGCCTGACAGGGGGTATTTCAAAGGTGTGTTAGCCTAGATGCACAGAAACAGTGGATGGGGCTTGCTTATGAGAAGTTATATGCTTGGAGTGAGTCTGAAAAGGGGGGTGGGGCAGCCTCTAGTTGCCATGGCAGCTATTGCTCTTGGTGATACAAGAGGCAGGCCTGGCTTGCCCAGCCTTCCAGACAACAGCATTTCCACATCAACCTGAGTCCTGAATATTTAAAAACTGTCTGTAACACTAGTGTAAGTCAGCAGTGTTCCTTCTGGAAAACACTGCATTCAGTGCTTTGTGCTGCGAGGTGTCCACTCTCTACAGACAAATGTTCTTTATCTAAAGCATCTTTACCCTCTGCCTTGGAGCACCCAGTGCCCATCCTCCTCCCCACTGGGATAATCTGGCTTCACTGCCTCCATTGCTTTCTAGACACAAAGTCCCATTCAGAGGTTATCTTAGGGGCAGCCTCCTTCTCACACCAGGCTCCCTCCTGGCCCACTCAGCCTCCTCTCTCAGACCCCGAAACAGGAAGAACTGTTTATTGCTCCGTATGGGCTAGAGAACCCATATTGTCTGTAAGAAGAAAATTAGGCTACCCTCCCAGGAGGTGCCCTCCAGAAAGCTTTGATTTCCCCTGGTGAGTCAACACAAACAATAAGTGTCATAAATTAGTTTCTCCATAAATTATTGTGCTACATTCAATGCCCATAAGTTCTCTTTCAGTTCAGGTATCTTTTGCTAGAGTAAAAGTTAAGTGGAGTGAGAACTAGAGAACTAAATTAGTCTCTTGAGGAGGAGTGTGCTGGGAAGGGAACATCTGTGGTGGCCCCTGACGGTTATGGAGTTCACCTGGTGAAGAAATGAGGAGGCTATGATATGCTCGGTGCTAAAACCCAGGGCCTGAGTCTGGCCAGAGATTTCCCAAACCGTACCATGCTGCTGTGGCCCTAACCCTCCGCATCGCCAGGATTTAAGAAGCAAGTTCCGGTGAGCTCAGAGCCTGGAGGGACCAATGCCCTCTTGTCAGCCGGGTGGAACGTTTGGTCGAGATGGAACCAGCAAGATGACAATATGATGCACTGAACCACCAGATGTCCCCTGCTTCTCTGGGGGAACCCATGTTCTGGGGGGAGGGCTGGGGCCACTACCCTACAGTAAGACCTTGTCATTCATGTTGTGATTTCTGTGGGTATAAACTATATCGAGTTAAAGGAAGAAAAGGAAAGGGGATGGGAAAGACATGGCAAGGTAGAGGAAGGCAGGGAAAGGCGAGTCTGCTTTGGAGAAGATCTTCCGCTGTGAGCTGCCCGTTTAGGAATGCATGATTAGATCACCCTGTGAGGTCACTTTTTTGTCCACAAAGCTCATATGTTCTTCCTCTGGGACTCCCAAAGCCTGATGATTCTTGGCACCTCTATAAAGCAAAGGGCCAGAATAGTATTTTTATTTTGTCCAATGAAAAGTCTGAATTTATAGCCTTATTCTCAGAACCAATTTGTAGGAAACCAAATTAAGATAAACAGACAGCATTCCTGACTCAGTCTAATAATTTCTTCCACTTATACTGCAAATACTCCTCCCTGCCTTTTTCCTCCTTATCTCTCAGATGCAGAGCCGGGGCTCACATCCTATAGTCACCTCCTCAGAGTGGAGGCTGGTGCAAAAAGCCCTGAATTAGGGAACCAGGGCTCTAGTCCCAGATCGGCCACCTCCTGGGTTACTTCCAGGAAACAGAACCACTTGTGGGCCCAAGTTTCCCCATCTAGGAAGGAAAGGTTGCACTGAATATTTCACAGGAAAAAAAAATCAGCACACACATTTTGGGGAGGGGGCCAATTAAAATCCTACCCACACAACTAAAATTAGTTTTAAGTGTTCAGAAGTGACTGGAGTAAGTAATTTCCAAGACTGTACTCGGACCTCATTTCCATAATTTCTAGACTTGAAGAGTGAAAGTGGAGGTAGAGTGGGAGGATGGCAGTGGACTTCTTTTTGCAACGGGGTCCCCACAGCAGCCCTCTCCCATCCGCTGCCCTTTTTGATGAAAAGGAGTGCGTCTCACACATGTCTCCTGAGCTGTTTCCGATGGCTGCAGAGGAAGTGGGGCCCCTTGCTAAGGATGCAGAAGGCTAGGAGGGGAGTGGGCAGCCTCAGAACTCATCCCCACACTATTGGAGCCAACTCCTCCAGGAAGGAGAAGGAAAGGGGTACAGGAGCTAGCATGGATTCAGTGCCACCTGCTAGAGGTGCACTTATGGCAGTGATGGTGACACGCGAACTCATTTTTTTGGTTGATTTTTCTTTGTTAAGTAGCATTTAAATATATAAATATCAAAAATATAAGTCTTTGTTTTACTATGGTTGCAAATATCAAAAAATTTCTATATGTGACACGGCACCAGAGTTAAGTTAGGGTTTTTCAAAATGCTGACACGCCGAGCTCAAAAGGTTCGCCATCACTGACTTGCGGTGTCTCAAAGGAGCCCCTATTACAGAGCAGGACGATTTTGAGGCCTGCGTAATGGCCTAGCCGCTTCAGCAGCCTGACAGCCTGTGCAAAGTCTCTAGGAACTGAGCTCCCACACCTGAGCCACGGCCCACAGAGAACAGATCAACACTCCTGGGCAACAGGCCTACAAAGAACAGACGGATCACAATTAAGAACAGTCCTGGCCTTTAAGTGACTCAGAAACGAATAACAGGAGGATGATGAGGAGCTTGGCTAAAACTACACAACGAGCTTTTGTAACTTGGCTTTGCTTGCTGTGGGAACCTGAGCACGGATGTGGTTGTCCCCTTTAAACATTGGACTCTGCAGATGGTCGTGGCCGCTTCTCTCTTGGGCTTCCCGAGTGGAGGAGCGGACACTGACCAGTCAATAAAGGCTCTCTAAATTTCAATCAGTCTGGAGTTCTGGTCATACTGTCGCTCGCGCTCCACAACACCCCACGACTTCATAGATAGGTCTAAGCGACCCTTCAGGTAAGAAAAATTCGGAACAGAGAAAGGAAGCAAGTTGGTCCCAGGCATCAAATGGTGGATCCAAGAGCCACTCTGTGGGTGGTTAGTGAGCTGGGTGTCGGGATCATAGCCCCTGTGTGGGCAGTCAGGGTCATGTGCACTCAGTTATTTCTGCTTCAATAGGACTAACCAGGGTTCTCTTTCTGGAACTTGGGAAGCAAAGAATGTGGTTGAGAATAATCAGAACAACCTTCGGAATGAGTGAAAGTGAACTGAGTGTCAGTTCTGGGCCAGCTATTTTCTCCTCTAGTATTTCACCGAATCCTCGCAGCTGTGTGGCCTGGTAGGCAGGACAGACGTGGCTCCCATCCTACATGGAGCTCAGGCTTAGCGAGGGTCAGCAGTCCATTCAGGGCCAGCCCTTCTCACTCGCTCGCTGGCCCCACTCCCATCATGGGGCCTTCTGGTCACACTTGCCAAACAGCTCACTGTCTCACGTGAGTTCCTTGAGCATAGGACCCTGTGTAAGTCCTCCCCCTCCTGCATCTGGCCCAGTGTGGGTGCAGAGGTGATGCTCAGAGCCAGAGCACGAGTGTTTTCCAAACGATTGTAAAATATTTGAAGTTGTGAACTTTCCCCACCCCAGCCAAAGCCTCGCTCTTTTCCATGTGTATGTGCCCGTGTACCAGAGTTGCTCCCGACAGCTAAGTGGGAAAACAAGTCTTTCCCTTTTGCAGGAAATCATACCTCAGTGGGGTGCTAGACAAGAGCACTGTGCTAGGAGTCCAGTACCAGAACAACCACAACCCTCTGGATGCCTCCGTTTCCCCATCTGTGCCATGAAAGGTTCCCCTAGTAAGCTGCAGGCCTCTACAGGGCCTAAAGGGTTCCAACCCTTTTATGGGTGGGGCTCCCAATACATCCCAGGGGCAGGCCCAGAAGGAATTCTTATTTAGCCTTGTCATCCACAAGCTGCCCCACACAGGCCCTGTCTCTGTGGTCTTTCCTGCTTTTCTACTTAAAAATGGTCCTCACTCAGCTTTGATCAGATCAAAGGGACACATGCTGCTGCAACTTGCTGGTCAGAGGCTGTCACTGCAAACTCTTGCCTGCTGGTCACAGTTGAGTTTTACCCAGTTCTGTGGGGGTACCTACAGAATGTGAACTCCATGAGAGCAGGAACGATGCCGCCCTTGATCATTAATTTATCTCTTGAATGGCATTGAATGTTTCTGGAAGGAAGGAAGGAAGGAAGGAAGGAAGGAAGGAAGGAAGGAAGGAAGGAAGGAAGGAAGGAAGGAAGGAAAGGAAAGAAGGAAATAGGGGATGAGTGGAGATGGTTCCTGCCATCTAGAGCCAACAGGCTAGTTGAGGAGAAAGGCACACACAAAGGTTAATAACTGAAGGACCAGGTTACCATACAGAGCAAAAGTACAAGGTGTTGCAAGACAGCATGTGTTCAGGCCAAATTTGTGTGTAGACAGTAAGGGCTGTAGGAACACAGTGTGACTCTGGGGACAGCAGAAAGGCACTGCAGGTCAAGGCGGAGGCAGACTCCATCCGTGCAGTCTCGGTGTTGGAAATGAGCAAGGCACGCTCAAGCTCTCCAACAGAGAAAAGGGAGCCTGGGCAGGACTAGCTCGGCTCAGAGAGTCTGATAAACAGAGGCTCAGAAGTCCATCCTGTCGGCTCCGGTTGGGAGTTCCTGGGATGTGTCTGCGGAAGCATCTTGACAGAGAGGTTTGCAAATGCTGATGCTCACCTTGACCCCACAGCTCCCAGAGAAACCTGCTCCTGGAGGCAGGCACAGTGTTTGCTCTCCACGCTTTTCTCCAGCCAAGGGACAGTGACTCAGGACCCAGGAAACCGATGAGGACCAACTCAGCACCCACTGGTGGAGTAGCACCCACTGGTGGGCCGAGCCCCAAAGGAAATGTAGGAGGAGGAAGACGGGCCCCAACCTTCCGGGGCTTAAGTAGGAGATACAAAAAACCGGTGAAACTTCATGTCCTCTGATATTTTATGTATCAGTCAGAATACTAATGGGACTTGGAATGATGTTAGGTGACCTTAACTGCCCTGTTTTCATGAGGAGTTCATTTCAACCCAGAGGGGTGGGGAATAACAGTATTTCATCTCATTAGAATCAACTGTAGTCACATCAGGGCTCTGCTTATTTTGTTTCTTCTTCTTTTATATATATATATATATATATATATATATATATATATATATATATATATAATTTTTTATTGCTGAAAGTTTTACATATGTCTCCTTTTTCCCCTCACTGACCCCCATCTCCAGCCTGCCTGCTTATTTTTCTTCTTCTTTCTTTCTTCTTTCTTCTTTCTTCTTTTTCTTCTTCTCCTCCTCCTCCTCCTCCTCCTTCTTCTATTTTTGTTAATCTCACCCAAGAATATTTTTCCCATTGGTTTTAGAGAGAGTAAAAGGGAGTAAGAAAGAGAAAAACAGTGAGAGAGAGAAACATCAATGCGAGAGAGACACATCGTTTGGTTGCCTACTGCACATGCCCGGACCAGGCAGGGGATCAAACCTGCAACCCAGATACATGCCTTTGACTGGGAATTGAACCCGAGACCCTTCAGTGCGAGGGTCGACACTCCAGCCAGGGCCTGCTTATTTTTCTTGACCCCAGGGATACCAAACTGTTGGATAGGCCTCCAGGGGGAAAGTTATCCTCAGCAAGTGGCCTGTAAACAGCTCCTTGTGAGCCTCTCTCCTAGACATGAGTTGCATAGTGTGGAGAAGGCCAGCTCATTGGCTTTAAAAATATCTGTCCCTGTTTGCTCGGACACAGAATCTTCACTGAGCAGGCGAGGGACTGGGTCCTGGAGAGAGGAGGTGACTTTCCCAGGCCATGCAGTGAGTTAGGCTGGGCGTAGAGGCCACCCTTCCTGACTAATGCCTGGAGCTGATTGGTCCTCTCTTCCTGCTGATACCCCTTAGAACAGAAGTCGGACCTTGTGAATTGGTGACTGGAGTACAGAGTTTCCTCTGCAGCGGTTCTCAACCTGTGGGTCGCGAACAATGAAAATACATCCTGCATATCAGATATTTACATTACGATTCATAACAGTAGCAAAATTACAGTTATGAACTAACAACGAAAATAATTTTATGGTTGGGGGTCACCACAACATGAGGAACTGTATTAAAAGGTCGCGGCATTAGGAAGGTTGAGAACCACTGGCTTATGGGATGCTAATGTAGCCAGCCCACTTCAGCCATTTACTACATATTGATTGTGTGACTATTATGGTCTGGGCACTCTTCTAGTCTCTTGAGATTAATTTGCAAACAAAACAGACACAAGTGCCTACCTTCATGGTGCTGACATTCTAGTGTGTGTGTGTGTGGGGGGGGGGAAGGCAGATATAAAACAATAAACATAATAAAGAAGCATGTGATATAGCATGTGAGAAGATGATATATGTCTGGAAAGAAGAGAGGAGAGCAGGGTAACGAGGATCAGTAGCTTGGGGTAGGAGTCATGTTCTTGTTGATGCTCTTGAAAACCATGAAGCTAAATTAGCTAATTGAGGGAGTTAATCTAGATGGGGGAGGGGGAGGAAAATGAGGCCTTTTTTCACAAAGATGGCACTGAAAGTGAAGAAGGAAGTTCCTCTCCCTCCCAAAGCCAAAGCCAAAGCAAAGGCTTTGAAGGCAAAGAAAGCAGTGTTGAAAGGCGTCCAC